CACTCCGATAGATAAAAGTGTGTATATATATATATATATATATATATATATATATATATATATATATATATATATATATATATATATATATATATATATATATATATATATATATATATATATATATATATATATATATATATATATATATATATATTATTCTAAATTAAAATTGGTCGTCTCTTGCAAATATTCGTATGCGCTAAAAATAAAGCTTTTTGCAATATATATTATAGCACATACACACACACATCTATCTATCTATCTATATATATATATATATATATACACAATTATGCTTATATTGATATGTGTACATACACAGGCACATCCATCCATCTCTCTCTCTCTCTCTCTCCAAATAATTCTTCATTTCTTCCGATATATAGATATATTGTAAATTTATTCAAACTCTGCGGTTGAACAAAACAGGATACCCCAATTTTCAAACAAATTCGCATCCGAATAAAAAAATTTTGAAAAAAAAGTCACAGAAACTTCCAAACAGGGCGAAAGATATACCTTTCCACAAATAAAATGCGGAAAAGAATGGTACAAAGAAAAATTCCAGCGAGTAATAAAAATTAAAACAAAGAGTGCTCAATACGATAAAAAGAGCAAAGGTAAAATGTAAAATACTTAATAATATTTTATTTCATATATATATATATATATATTATTCCATATATATATATATATATATATATATATAAATATATATATATATATATATATATGTCTGTGTTTGTGTGTGTGTGTATGTATTGTATTAAATTGTTCGAATTTAGGCATAAAATTGTCGGTTCTTTTTTACTGGTGGAAAGGTAATTTTGCAAGACAGGTTTTTGTCTTTAAGCGCTTGATATCACAAGGTAAGAATGTAGCGTTAATTGAATTAATGTGGAGAAATTATCACTTAAGAGAGTGGTGTTATTTCAATGATACCGACTTCGATGTTTCGTGAGCGCATTGTTGTAATGCTTTCACAATTTGGCTTCTCGGTGTTTACTCAAGCCGCAAGGCGAGATATGGCACAAGGCCGGTTTTTAATGTCGGGTGTTCCGAGCCCATATACTCGGTCAAAAATTCCCCGTAAACCCCGTAATAACAAGGTCGAGTTTGCCTACCTCCCTCGATGAGACTCTACTCTTTGGCATAGCCTCATCTGGCTTCCTCTTTGCCTTCAGGCTGTGAGGCCGACTAGCAGAGCCAGGCAGCCGACAGCCTGATTTTTTTCGAGCTTTAAAGAACTCTTTGGCTTCTCGGTATTAAGGCAAGACCTCTCTACAATGCGGGATATGGCACAATGCCATTTTTTAACGAGGGGCGATTTCGAGCCGTAAACACGGGCAAAAATTGCGTAGGGTCGGGTAGCTTTCTACCTCCCCGGACGAAACTCTATCCTTCGGCATAGAGGCAGAGAAGTCGACAAGCAGAATATTAGCAAACGCAGTGCTTTTGATGTCTTGGCTTCTCTGCTGCTACTTCTAAACCTTTTCATATTTATGTATATTTTGATGCAATTTGATACGTTGGCCTGGGTGTGTGATTTTTTCACTTTAGGTTTTTTGCTGTTTCTTAAGAAGTGTAAGCTTTCTTGGTGATTGTTTGCTTTGTATTGTGCTGACCTCTTTTGACCCTGTATATGCTCCCTGTATATGTTTTATGCAAAAGTAACCTATTTTTACCGTGTTGAGCTGACCTTTTATATTGTGCCAGTGTATATGGCCGCTTGAATATTTCAACTTATTTTTAGGTCATGCTTAAGTGTTTTTGCTTGTGCGTGTATGCTGTTTTTTTTTGTTAATATTTGCTAATATTTGTGTGTATATATGTATTTATATATATACAAACATATATATATATATATATATATATATATATGTGGGGGTGTATGTTTGTGTGCAAATGTAGTGTTTGTAGTGGGGTTGTGTTTTCTGTCAAGTTTATTTGCTTCTGTTTGTATTGGTATTTTAGTAACAAAGTATTTATTTGAATATCTACATTCCGCCATTATTTCATTTTTCTTGTTGAGTAGTTTGCCTTGTTTTTAGAGGTAATTATTGTTAACTTTTCCTCCAGACATAGTTTACAGTTTCTTCTACTCTATGGAGGTGCTCTTTTTTTGATTTCCCGTTTAATAATATATATATATAATATTATATATATATATATATATATATATATATATATATATTCCCAAGAGGACAGAATCAGGTAGAACTCAATGTCAGGACAGAGTAAGAATATAATATAAAAGTCTAAAACATTAATATTCCATGGTTATAATTTATTACATTGGAATCGTAATGAGGATCCAATTCATCAGACATTCACACACACACACACACACACACACACACACCGACACACACACACACACACACACACACACACACACATATATATATATATATATATATATATAAATTTAATTTAGCGTCGAAAATGTTTGTCACACATATTTGAATATTATGGAATACTTCATTACACGTGACATGTATCTAACCAATAAGAAATATCCAATCGCAACATGGCATTAATCTGCTTCTCTTCGCTTTTTCATTTTTTTTATCATTTCTATCCTGATCTCTAAAATGAAGCATGTTAGTTTAAGATCTATTTCCTACTTGTTCTTTATCCCATCACATACATACAAACATGCATATATATATATATATATATATATATATATATATATATATATATAATAGGCAGGATGTGTGTGTGTGTGTGTGTGTGTGTGTGTGTGTGTGTGTAACGAATTCAGGGCCATAATTTTCGACGGATTTGCACCAAAGTTTACATGCACATGCTCCAAGTTAGCAGGAAAAAAAACCCACTTTGCGTTTCCCAACTCCCATCGATAGTGGAAATAATTGATTTTTTCATGCTTTTACGGCAGTTTTCATGTAGTTTGCGGCCATTTTCTACTGGCCGGAGTGAGAGCCTATAGCTGGCTGCCACGAATAGGCAGGGAGATTCTATTGGCCAGCGTGAGAGCCAACAACTGACTGACACGAATGTTAACTAGCATGCTAGCACGCAAAAAAAAATCGATAGCTGCATTCGTCACAAGTGGGAAAAATTTAAATCTGCATGGCACTTTACTCCAATTGGCTCATTCGCTTGCTTAAACTCAACGTTGATGCTGATTCCGCAGAACTGGGTTGGCTGTGAAAAAGTATTTGTTGTTAACATCCTTTTTTCATTCGGTTTTTCCAGTTACGAGTCCTTTTTTTAAAGCTGATCGTTTTGTGTTCATTTTGCTTAGTTCTTTTTTCGTAACAGATTTAATGTTTAGTATAGAGCTTCGAAAAAATTCCCAGTGTGAGATAGGCAAGAAGTAAGGCATGTAGCAACATCAGCACGGAAAAGGGCACTCATTTAAAGGCAAGGAAGGGCAAAAATATTTTAAGTCAAATGATAACGATTGCTGTATGAGTCGTGCGATTTTTTAATCAAGCACGGGCAACGCCGGGCCATGCTGCTAGTGTATATATATATATATATATATATATATATGTGTGTGTGTGTGTGTGTGTGTGTGTGTTATCACTGAAAATTAATTTCAGTAGAGTCACATAATTGAGTAGACGCCCCGTGTATTTATTAAACAGTATATTTACTTTCGTTTACCGGCCTGAACATTCAGGAAATCTTATTGTTGAAAGATATGCAATCTCTGGCAGGATTCGAACCTGTGTCCCATTTTGCAATTGAAAAAGACATACAATGGAGTGACTAGGCATAATATTTCGCGCTGCTGTCCATTTCTGCGGTAGACTGATTGCCAACTATAGCTATAGGTTCTACTCTGTCCTGCTGTCCATTTTATGGCTGACAGGATAAGTGATAGATTCATATCTTCCCGCATATCTATATGTAACGAACCCGATTGGAATTCGAACACGGCTTGTAGATTTCTCATTCCGTGTTGTTATCAGTTACACCACATCCGTTGTTATAATCAAGGAGTAATCTCTTCTTTTTCATAAATACCATTTCTTTTAAGGGCGTTGGTTATCATGTCCCAATACATATTCCTTTTATTATCTGTGAATTGCCATGACTTCTTAAGAAATCTAATGGTTTTCCGCTTTATTGATCCACTGCATTGAATTCAGAGTAGTGCTTCTCCCAGACTGACCGCCACACAAATGTTACAGTCTTGTAGGGGACATATAGCACAACGACAAATTCAGATACAAACAAATACACCAGTCAAATATTCAAAGATGACTGTACAAAAATATTTTTTTTAATATTCTCTTTCTTTTTCAAACACACAATCAGAAAATAAAATGCTTTATTTACTTTACCAATTCTGCGAGTATCTTCAATCTCTCGGGGTCTGTAATGCCTCAAAATTACCAGTCGTTTTGAAAATATTTATAAAAAAAGACAGAGCTAAACCACGTTCAAGGCGGTGAGAACGTGACTGAAGTCGAGATGCCAAGTCAGGATCGACGACATTACAGACCCTTCTGTGGATTTTGTTAAGAATTCCTGAAGATATATCTGTAGCACCAAACCAGATGAGACAGGCCACAAAAAAAGATTCTGCGCGTTGATCATTTGGCCATATTTTTGAGATTGTGTCGTGCTGGGGACTCTGCAGTCACCCGAGTCTATTTTAAAGCCTATTTAGGCATCATTTCTATCGCTTACTTAATCATCTGCATCTGTTCTGGAAAAAAAAACATCGTACATAACTGTGTGAAGCTTCGAACGCATTATAGTAGGCACCTATAAAAGTTAGCGAAACCAGTTAACCATTCCAGCGAAAGGGAATATGCCAACGAAAGCTACCTTGTATATTCAAGAGACAGCTCTCCAAGGTTATCATGTCTTGTGATTGACCAGGCTAAAATTATTTAAATCTCTGAAAAATAATGGTAAGCAAACATGGTTGAAAATAATTTGAAAATGAGTTTGCCTGAGAAGTTTTTCCATTATGAGTTTTCGAAAGTCCTCAATGTCTACAGCTGAATTTATTAATGAAGAGACCTAATGGAAGAAGATATTTTCTTGCAAAAGATAACATTATCTATTTCGTTAACCTGTCTCTTCGTACATATCGGTCTTATTCTAATTATATATCAACCTGTCATCCTCTCTTTCTTTCTTTCTTTCTTTCTTTCTTTCTTTCTTTCTGTCTATCTCTGTTCATATCTATTTATATCAGAGAGTTCATATCTATCAATCTATCTATCTATCTATCTATCTATCTATCTATCTCAGAGAGTTCATATCTATCTCTATCTATCTCTCTCTCTATCTATCTATCTATCTATCTATCTATCTATCTATCTATCTATCTCAGAGAGTTCATATCTATCTATCTATCTATCTATCTATCTATCTATCTATCTATCTATTTATCTAACTATGATCATATATATTTATATCAGACTGTTCATATCTATCTATCTTTCTATCTATCTATCTATCTATATATCTATCTATCTATGTTCATATCTGTCTATCTGTCTGTCTATTTATCTATGATCATATATATTTATATCAGACTTTTCATATCTATCTATCTATCTATCTATCTATCTATGTTCATATCTATTTATATCAGAGAGTTCATATCTATCTATCTATCTATCTATCTATCTCTGTTCATATCTATTTATCTCAGAGAGTTCATTATCTATCTATCTATCTATCTATCTATCTATCTATCTATCTATCTATCTATCTATCTAACTATGATCATATATATTTATATCAAACTGTTCATATCTATCTATCTATCTATCTATCTATCTATCTATCTATCTATCTATCTATGTTGCTCTCTCTCTCTCTCTCTCTTTCTCTCTCTCTCTCTAGCGACCCCCACACCAGAAAAAAACCTTTAGTCAACATATAGAGGAATGGAGAGGACAAAATCTGCCAAATTTTAGTGCCTTCCCATTCTACAAGTGTAACTTCAGAACCACTGAACAAAGGCGGATTAATAAGGAAACATGAACAAGTTGAAACCCATACTTAATCCATTGCATAAATAGATTCAAACAAATTCCCCTGACCATAAACGACATATATAGCCAGTTATGCCCCTTGATTTTCATTTTTTTTTTCATTGGTACAAAACATAAGCATCAACACGTGGAGATAGAAACAGTTAAAAACTTTTTGAAAAGTTAAGCAAAACCAGTTAAATTAAAAAAGTTTAAAAAAGAAAAACAATAAATTATTTTTCTGAAGAAAGAAAAAAACACTGAAAATCCAATTGTAAGTAACAAAGTCTTAATTCTTGTCTGTAAAAATTCATATATTATAAATAAATATCACTTTATTAAATATTAGGTGCCTTTTATTTCCTTTCCTTATTTTAGTCTATACAATAAGTTTTCGTACAAAATCTAACAAAAATGTTTTACCTGTATATATAAATATGTGTATGTGTGTGTGTGTGTGTGTGTGTTTGTGCCTGTCTGTGTTTATTATATCTCTCAATATCTATCTATGTTCATTAGTTCTATGTCAGTCTTTATTCACAGCCAATGTATGTATCTATGTGTATTGCATTTGCTCTTATCTAACAAGATATCTACCTATAAATGTGTTACATGTGTGAATATATTATCATATCTACCTATCTACTTTGCTCATACCTCTCTGTCATGCACACTTGTCATTCAGATTATGGTCTCATCTTTCTCTATATGTATCTGTCTTTCTATTTGGCTTTACTTATCTCTCTAGCGAGCTAGAGTATCTGAGTTGCTTTCCATTAATTGTTTGACGTATTTTTTGATGCCTTTCTGAATTGGCATGGTTTATCAGAAATTCTATTTGATTCATTTTTAAAAAGAGAAACTGACAAATTCGAAAAGAAAATTAGGTGTTCGAGCCCACGTAAAAGCTTAGAGTTTGATTACTGCTTTTCTTGGTAAGCTGGCCCTCTGTACGTCCCAGCCTCAAAATCTCGACATTTTGCCTTTTGCCGTACTAGGCTAAGTTTAGGAAATGCCCGCTGCAGACAGAGAAGGGAGGTAACTAGCGTAAAACTATTAAAGAAAAAATCTTGCAAAATGGTGTGAAAATCCTGTGACAAACTAAACTGCGAAGAGAATGAATTGGAAGAAACAAAACAAAAAAAAAATAAATAAATTAAAAAGCAACAAAAAAAAAAAAATTATACGCTTCTCTAACAGTTCACATCCCAAGCCACCGTTTTTCCCCTCTTCGTTTTCTTCTGGCAAACGAAACAAGATATATTTTATTTTGTGTGTTTGTTGCCAGCGTTTGCAGACGAGACCTGCATTTGGAACCAAGACCAGTTGAGACATGAATCAAAGTTCTGACGCGAATTTAACCGAACCGTACGAGACAGCTGACATGTTTTATTAGCGTCACGTGATGCCGGCGCTGTCGATTGGGACGGTCGGCATTTCCCGTAAATACTTTAAATAAAAGAAGAGAAGAAAAAAAAAAACGGAAGGAAGAAAAAAAAGAAAACATGGGTCTTCAGCAGCTTGTAAATGGCAGTAATACAACTTGACTCGCATTTGCTTTGAGCCTCACACTACTCACTAATATTCGAGTGATTTTTCTTTCTTTTTTTTTTTTTTATTTCCGAAAGTGTGCAGGGAATAAAATCAATATCTTCCTCTATTCTTCATTACATCAATCAAATAAGTTTTGTGGTCATGGTTATCGGAATTATTATTATTATTAATAATAATAATAATAATAATATTGAGAGGGTGAGCGAGAGAACGTCACGCTAACAAAGTGAGCCTTGGTTATAAGTATACGAAGGGCCATTTATTTATCATAACACCCATTCCCATAAGAATACCAGGCACATTCATCACAGCAAATTGTGCAAGATACGATGGAAGGATTTGATAAAAGCAGCACATAACCTTGCAGGTGGGACCTAGTTGTAAATACCTTCGGGTCGTGTAACCCGGTCCGTTCAGACGGACTCCAATGCGAACATTTCGGTGTGACACTCAAATCGCTTTGGCTACCTCATCCTTCAGTCAGCCCACTCGATACCCGGCCATGATGCTCTGACATTATTCCCGCTCATGAACAGGGCTGCATGGTGCATCAGTCCCAAGTGGAGGTGGCCAGCTTGCTGGTTAAGTTTCCCAACGGATCATCGTTTAACACAGGTTTATTTTTGTATACTGGTCAAATTTATTGCATTCACATATATGAAAACACAATAATATACTTCAGTAACTGTCATATATATATATATATATATATATATATATATATATATATATATATATATATATGTGTGTGTGTGTGTGTGTGTGTGTGTGTGTGTGTGTGTGTGTGTGTGTGAAATATATATAAAATAGGTAAGAACTGGTTAGGTAAATAGTATTTTTGTTATTATTTTTTTTAAAAATAGTGCTCGATACAAAAGTAGAGTATAAATATAATTATCTATTTCAAAATATGATTCAACTCGCGACATAAGAGATCCCATGTTTCAAAACAAGAGCCGAAAACTTCAATATAATTATTTGAATTAAATTGAATTCGAGCTTACTTTAATTCAAATGATTATATTGAAGTTTTCGGCTCTTGTTTTGAAACATGAGACCTCTTATGTCGCGTGTTGGAATCATATTTTTAAATAAATAATTATATATATATATATATATATATATATATATATATATATAAAGACATTTTTTTATGTTTATACGTTCTTTTTATCGATACAAATAATTAAGTAAATGCTCTGTTTATAATAAACACTGTTAACGGCATTTACCGGCCCGAATGTCCGAGAATTTTTCATAGAAAATATGCGCCTGCGACAGGAATTGAACCTGTATCCTATACGGAACCGTCATATAACCTGACGTGCTTTTACCGATTTAGCCACAGAGGAGCGTTTCGGCTAGAAAGGTCGATTTTACTGTTTTTAAACCATATTTTTCATATCAGCTTGATGCGTATCCAAATGTAAACAAATGACGTCATACATTATGAAATGGACAACGTCCGACAATTATATTAAGACATTTATTATGTTTATACGTTCTTTTTATAGATACAAATATTTAAGTAAATGCACACATGGCACCGAATGCAGTTTCACTCAATTCTTTCAAGTACATGACAGATTAGAGACAAAAGATTTCTCATAGACATGCATAGTTCCAGATGGACAGCCAGATACAAGCGTACATCCGAATAGATAGATAGATAGATAGATAGATAGATAGATAGATAGATAGATAAAATTTATTTAGCGGTATATCAATGTCTATCGGTTGTTTAATGGCGAAATCTAAATATTTTGAGCAAAATTTTATGCCTTGAACTAAATGTAAATTGAACGCAATTGCATGCCTTCAACTACAGATATTTTATACATCATTTTATGATTTCAGAGTAAATGTTTGATTTATAGATATATGGTTTGTAGATGATCCATTGTAGTAATTATATCTGTTGGTATAAACTTATTACTTTAGGGTACATTACGAGATAGATAGATAGATAGATAGATAGATAGATAGATAGATAGATAGATAGATAGATATGAACAGACTGATTTAGATTGATCAATAGATAGGTAAATACGGGCAGACTGTTAAATTCCTAGACGCATATGATATAACCTGGGAATCGTATTTCTGGCACATCTTAATGGTTCACAATACTATGACCTTGTGCCATGCGTGTCTTAAATTAGTCAATAGCAAT